ATCGCAACGCATTGTGTCGAATACAATTTATCATCGAGTTAAGTTTAATAATAATAATTTAACACGGGCCGGAAAGATCCTGTCCACAAGGTAGCGAATTTGATTGAGCAAATTAAATAAGTAAATAAATAAGTAAGTATTTATAAATTAATAAATAACATTATCATTTGTTTTATATGTAAATCGCCGAGAGAACAAACATCTCAAACTGTAAAAAATATCAATTTAACCAAATCCCAACTTTACACGTTACTCTTACCAAAAAGAAGCTGCTCTTAATTTCGAACGATACGAGAGGGTGGCGAAGCGTGTTATTTAATTTGTTCTCTACAACACAATTGTATGTTCTATAGCTACAAAATTATCACATAACAAACAATATGGAAGGACAAGAATGTCCTTCCAAAGTTTATCGAATCTAGAGGAACAAAAGACAACGTCCAGGGAGGCTGGGAGACGAACATTTCTCGCGGGGGAGGATACATCCGCGCTGAATCCTGGCGTTTCTCCGTGCACTCACCTTCATGGACATGTTGAACCTCTGCCGTGCGTATTCCGATCAATTATTCGTTCAGTCCTGCCGAAGCGCATCGCACGTCCCGTCGCCGCCGAGCGAGCGTTCGTGCAACATACAATCACTGTCGATCTGTCCAGCGCGAAGCGCGCTTCGCTACTGAATGCGAGCCGCGAGCGGCGAGCCACTAAACGCGGCCCGTTCCGCCCGTTTTGAAGCACCGCTCTCGCCAGTCTCGCCAGGGTGTTCCGCCCGTACGCGCGCGACGGCCGGTAAGCGTCGTCATCGTCGAGTCGTACTCGTCGGTCGACGAATCGCGCATAAACATACGACACGTAGTCGCGAACAATTGCGAATAGACGGGGCGCGACGGACCACCGCAAGAGTCCGAGAGTATCGGATGAGAGAAGGGGGGGAAGATGCGCTGAGAGTCTGCGACAGAACGGGAAGTGCACGAATACAATAATCTCCAGAGGATCGTCTCACCTCGCGCATGCGCGGAGGTATCGAAATGTTTTAGGCGAAATCGGCGAAATGGTGAATAATAATTATTTGTTTGCGTGGCTTTGAAATTCCCAAATAGTTTGTACTTAAAACGAGATTATATGTGTAGATATTTGAGCGTTGAAAAAAGAAAGGAAATTCTGAGTGCAAAAAGTGCTAGCAACATAGTAGACCTATGATATATTACACATAAGTATCGACTTGAATTTCAAATTTGATTACAGATTCAAATAACAGAACGCGAGATAATTGATTTAATAACTTTCAAAATATTGCAAGATATGAGTTATATGTATATTTGATATAAAAAAAACCGATGTATTCCTTCCTCTCCTCGAATGTAATTACAATGCCTGTATCAGGGCAATTTAGAGCTGCGAATAGTTTAATTCTTACGTATAATACGTATGTGTAATACGTATAATACGTATAATACATATAAAACGTACGTATAACACGTATAACATATGGTATTATACGGTATAAAAACCATGTATAATACGTATGTTTAATACATGCCCAACCCTGGCCTGTATAGATAAATTAATTTCACAGTGTGTAAAATAAAAATTTCATAACATAAAATTAATATAAATTATATGGTAATAAATATTTATTCGAAAAATGTATTATTATTGCGCGTCTGTGCATTGTAATATATTTTTCAAATAAATATTTATTACTACAGTCTTCTTTATAAATACAGAAAGTGCAACATAGTACAGTTAACAAGGATTGTTCAGATTGTTTCTATTCGACGCACACAACCACAGAATTCCATGTTCCATCGTTCCATATACATCCAATAATTCCACATTCCATTCCAGTCCTCCATCTTTCATTCTTTCATTCCGCAGTCTTTTCGAGCGATTGACGTGCAAATTGTAAGTATGACAAGTATTTACTAAAGAATTAATGCTACCACATTCTGCTTGCCCAAATAGCACACTAATCTACTGTTTTACGGTGTTATTGCAGCTGTAAAGAAACATGGAGAACGATTTGGGCAATCTGGTCGACTTGTACATCCCTCGAAAATGGTAAGACGCAAACACACGTGGGTTACAGATAATTCCCATAAACTTTGTACCGAACGCGAACGAGAACTTTGTGTCTAGATGATCAATCAAATTCGCTACGCAGATTTTTTTATTTAGTAAGATTAACCGTAGCGTGGGCGATACATAAGCAGCGATTTGCAAGTGAGGTTAGGTGACTCCGTACAAATCTATGGATCTATTCTTTGTGGCTGAATTGTGTACACTTGTTATACTTAAAGGCTCAATTTTTTATTTTCTGATCAACTTGTGGATGGATTTGTTAAATTCTCTAGTTTTTCATACATGTTTCTTTTCAAGAATAGAGACTCAGGTCTTATAAATCTATTTTAGCCATAGATCAACTTCTTTCATCTATTGATTCTTGTGATCTCACATTTGAAGCAGAATATATACATCTACAGACAGAAGAATTTTAGGAAAATGCACAAGATATACTTATTTTTCTGGAAAGAATAGATTTAAATCTGTGATTTTTTTCTGTGTAGTTCGGCGAGTAATCGCATCATCCATGCCAAAGATCATGCATCTATACAGCTGACTCTGGCCGATGTTGATCCAGAAACAGGTCGCATGACCGATACTCACAAGATGTATGCAATCTGTGGAGCAATTCGTCGAATGGTAGGTTTAATTAAGTTGTGTGTGTGTGTGTGTGTGTGTGTGTGTGTGTGTGTGTGTGTGTGTGTGTGTGTGTGCGTGCGCGCGCGCGCGCGCGCGCTGATTTATATAATTAAAATTCCTTAAAATATTTTAAATACAAAATTATACTATTTAATTGACGTAATTTAATTGACGTATTTCTACAATAAATTTTAATATTGTCAGTATTGTAATATAAATTTGTATTAATTTCATGAAGTCTTGTCCTAATTTTATGTTCATAGGGAGAATCCGATGATTGTATCGTAAGATTGACGAAGAACGATGGATTATTATCTAAAAACTTTTAATTTAAGTTATGTGACAAGTCTATTTCCAATAAATTAAAAAAATATAAAACAGATTTGATTATTTTTTTAACTTACCATAATTCTATTTATACATAGTATTATGTTAATTTATTAAGTAGACAGTAATTTGAAAGATTTATTCCTGCGAGCGATCATTCATCAAAAATAGAAAAATTTAATTAAAGGGATAAAATTAATTTAAATTTTCCTTCGATTGGGTACTATTGTTTGATAAATGTTTAAGTTAATTAGGTATTTTAATTTATTTTTATATATTTTTTAAAGATAAATATATTATTGAAATTATATGTATACGTACATATTAGAAAAAAACTTTACTGCGTATATTTTAATAGACATGAATTAATTAAAAACTGATTTTTTTTACCTTTAAATTCGAGAAGATTGATTCTCCGTTGTATTAATTTGTGTAATTTTAATGTTAATCATCGCGTAAAAGAGGAAAAAATAAATAAACGTTCATCACAGAAAATATCTATCTTATTTTATTATAGTTATATAAATTGAAATTAATTAAATAAATTGATTAATAAATAACGATATTTTAAAAATGCGTTGCCTTTATTAATAAACATATGGTGGATTTGCGTTGTACAATAGTATACAACTTGTACTATCGATTATTTATTACATGTCGTAATATCGAAAATGTTAAATGTATTATACATATTTAATATCTTAATAGTAACCGTAGAGAGAAATAAAAAATACTTAATCACAACAATATTAGTCTAAAAAATTTTTGCTTTCGGAATAAAATTTATATTATTGATTTCAATAACGCAAATTAGTATTTATTGTTATCAATAATACTGGCGTATTCCACATTTTTCGATTATTAATAAAAATGTCTCATTATCAGACAATTAATATCAACAGCACATTAATTTTGAAAAAATTACTATATTAATTACTATAAATACTATAAATACTATATAATACTATACAATTTTTTTAGACGATTTATCATGCATCTATGTTTGTTAAATCAATATCGATATACGTCTACGACAATATCATATGAAAAGAATACATTTTTTCTTAACATATAAATTTGTAAAAATGATATGATTTCCCTTCATTTACCTAAATTTTAATACGTTAAAATATTTTCGTACAAATTAGTTTAGAATTATACTAATGATTTTACTGAAAGTTGGTTAATTGATCGGTAGCATCTTATTTTAACACAATTTTTAGTACATTATTTCGCAAAATTGTATAATGGTATATTAATGTTATATAAAACAAATACTAATAGCATAGACCTCTAGATGTCCTGAGAACATTTATATATCTTTTGAACATCCTATAAGGACATCCCGGTAAAGTGTACTATTATAAGGTACATGTTTTATATAACTTATATAATATAGATTACATTTATAAAAAAGATAATATTTAATCTGTATGATTTGGGTATTATGATAATCGCTTAATAAAGAGTTGTTTTAAAGTTATTTCTCTCTCTGACAAATCCTTGCAGTCAAATATGGAGATGCTGCTTGTTCGTATACTTCAATAGTCATACCGCAACCCATAATGCTGTTTAAATATTCAGTTTAATATATATGAACATATATATCTTGGTAAAATTAATTTTGAAAAATATTTTAATAACACTAATTATTATGTGCCTTCAAGTATATAGTAATACGTTAGCGGCGGTGATTCTTGTAAGATTAAGTAAGATTTAAAAAATGAAATTTCCGATTTCTATTACATTTAATATCCTGTTAATTATTGTGAAATTCGCAAAACGATAGATCAAGAATCTTCGATTTAATTTAACTTGTATTACTTGACTAGAAGTATCTTATTATCCTTTATCCTATTATACTTATTATCCCTATTATTAGACACTCCGTATAATTCATAGAATTTAACTTTACGTGATATAAACTTATGTGATATAAACAAAAAGAAAGATTACCAATATTATCGCTTGTTTCTTTTTTCCCTTATTTGACTGGCGGTGATCCATTCGAAGAATCTGACTTAGACGGACTCTGCGCTGGAGTACTTTGTCGTTCTCCACTTTGTCTTGATGACAGAGCAAAGTTGACCGTATCCTTACAATCAGCTCCAGCGTCTATCGAAATACTCGATCCACTTTGTTCTGATGGTTCAGTTATAGCGTCTCTCGAAGTACTCGATCTACTTTGTTCTGGTGGTTCAGTTATAGCGTCTGTCGAAGTATTCGATCCACTTTGTTTTGGTGGCATGGTCCCAATGTCTTTCGAAGTACTCGATCCAGGACTGTTTTTATTCATTATTCAAAAATACAAATTATTACGTATCATTTAAAAAATAAAAAATATGATAAAATATTTAGTATTTTAAATTACAAGCATGCGCGCGCACGTTAATCATGCAACGAGAATAAGTTAAAATTGACTGAAATAAATTCAAATTTTCAGAAGTAAACATTTATGAACGTTCAAATGAATAATTTTTAATTCCAATACATTTTTATTCATTTATAGAAATTGCATGAAGTATATTCCTATGTCTTTTAATTTAAAAATATCAGGTTTTTTTTAAGTGCATCATGAATACTGCTCAAATCTAAATAGGAAATACAGTTTTTCACTCCGATTGAATCGAATTGAATCCAATTGAATTCGGATAGATAAAATTTCAATCCATTCACGTTTACTGGATTATAAGTAAATAGATAAGTAATAGTAATAGCATAAAAAACAATTAATAAATGTCACGTTTTTTATAACATAAAATACACTTATATTGGAAAATGATTATATGTATAATTTTCAAATCTGTGTATACTATCTAATATAAGAAAAGTAAATAATATTACTCGTCGTGTTCTTCCTGATTTTCAACTAATTGTCTGTCTGAATTCACAATGATTTTATGTTTTTGCTTTGCATTATGTTCTAGCATCTTCCAATCCACTTCAGATAATTCATCAATTTGTAAATCTTTTATGTTTTCCGTTTGTGAGTCAACATATTTATCACTAAAAAAATATTCTGATTATATTAACAAATTTTGTTAAACAAGTTTTTAATAGTGAGACACACAATTTTTGTTTTATATCAGCTTAAAATATATTCCATACCATACCAATTTTATTCATTATGCCGTGTGAAGCACCAATGAACGTGATATTGAATGGGTAATAAAGTGTGTATCAATAACGTTAATTACTGAAATTGTTATGTATGTGCGTACGCGTGTATGTGTAGTGTGTGTGCGAATGTACGCGTGTTTTATTGAAATAAACATACATCTATACAATAGTAATAACTTCCCTTGTGGACGGATAGTGCGAATTAAATTAAATAAAAGTTAATTATTAATTATGAAGAAAATTTTATATTTAAAATTACTATAATATGGTAGTAGCTGCTGTCTTCATGTGAATTATAAGTTTAAATGCTATAATTATTTTTTTAAAAACAATAATATAACATAATTTTTACACTTTTTTATAGTAAATTTTATAGTAAATTTTTTTATTACAAAATAAAATCTTGTTGAATGAAAGTTAGTATTGTAAAAATAAATACAAAATATATACCTAGTAAATTTTGTTTGCGTACCATAGTAAAAATTAACTGTTTTCATGTTAGAATATGGCTTAACAAAATAATTACTTTATTTATGTGATAAAAATTAGATAATTATTACCATAGTAAAAGTTAAGTCGGAATTATGTTATGAGGGTCCATACGAAAATGCAAGACGTAGTAAAGTGTAATTTAAAATTATATTAAAACTTAATATAAAATTTTCTCCGTGTATAAATATCATAAAACGCGCGGTACAAAAATTTCCGATTTAGTTTAATCTACACGAGAGATTTTACGTTTGATACAGCCTGCAGTATACGTGAGCGAGCACACAGATATAAGAATTATGTTTATTGAGTGAATTATAATTATGTTTCTATATTATTAATATTGAATATTTTTTTATGGTTTAAGATTCCTTTAATATAGATAGTATAAATTATGATAAAATGTTTCATATTTATGTGTGATAAAATAATAGCTAAAGGAACTGCTTTTCTATACAAAAACATCCATATGATCATCAGGGTATTTATACATATAATAACAATTTGTAATTTTGATTAAAAATATATGATTACAATTATTGACTCAGTTTTCGAGTTGTTATGAATTTAAATTGTTGAATAAAAACAATTAAAATAAAATTTATTTTCGTCAATTTTGATAAATATAAAATGCTTTTTTTCTTACTATGAATGGTAATGTATCCAGTGCAAATATAATATAGTTGCTTTTTCTGGAGTGGTTTCTACGTTCATTCCCATGTCCAAATTTGCTGAACATACGGTGCACCACGTTATGTTGTATGTTATCCTGTACCCTTCTAGTACTTTGTCTATTCTTTTATATATGTAATTTAATTTCCCGTGATATATTTCAAAATGGTTTCGTACAAGATACAAACACCTTTTATTATAAATTTTATCATTAACAATAGTATTACATTCTAGACATTTTAGCTGTTCTTTCTGTACAGGCCTTATATAATATTTTTTCAGTAGTTCATCAACTTCTCTAAGATTTTGTTCTTGTTCTTTGTGCGCCGTATCTTTTTGAATTTCTATATTACTCACTTCCTGTTCCATTATTTGTTTTATATATCGCTCATAAAACCATTGTTGTATTTGTGGATGTAATTTATCTAGTTGCCGTTCTGGAATATTTCTATAAAAATCATCGTAATACTATGTAAAAGTGAATTAATTTTAGTTTTTTCATCATATTTAATAATGTTTTTGTAATAATATAAGTTATATTTGTATTGAAAATTAATATTTAATTTTGAAATTTCTCTCTCTCTCTCTCTCTCTGTGTGTGTGTGTGTGTGTGTGTGTTCGTGCTATATGATATAAGAAAAATAAAGTTACTCATCACGGTCGCTACTTTTCTGCCCTTGATCGTCTCTTCCAGAATTCTCCAACATTTCGACTAATTTTTCTTTTGTATTTAGTTTTCGTCTAAACTTTTTTCGTAGATGTGCCTCTAGTTTTATTTGATCGTCTGAAGATGTCCTATCATTAAGAGAAAAATATTTTAATTATATCAACAAGACAAGTATCATTATATACGATAGAATGCATTTTGGTGCTGCATTCTAAACAATTTTGGTGATAAAACAAAACATCTGGTTATCATAATATGTAATTCTAGTCGTAATATGGCCTTTTGGTAAATAGAAAAAATACTTGTTTTACCTAGCATGTATGTAGCAGTGTTTAAGTAAGATAACCAGCTGTTCTTCAACGTTTAATAGCAAAGCTTTCACTTCGAACGAGTCTCTACAGATGAAGCACACCAATATGTCACTCATTATGATGTACTGATTCAATAGATCATGTACCATCTTTATATCTATTATTTCTTTATATATCTGAGAAAATACTCCGTGATTTAATTCCCAATGATTTTTTATAATACAAGTACTGCCACCATACATAACTTTTCTTAAACAACATATACATATTCCCTCCGAACTTGACATTGCCCATATTTTAAATGTTATGAATATTTCAATATACTTTTGACGGTCAACGGCTTCATGTATTATCTCGTCAAAGTTTTTGATTTCGTTTATTTCTTCTGATGTGAACTTAAAGTAGTTTCTCATTTCTCTTATATCATCAGGTAGTATCTGTAATTCTTCTAAAAAAAGTTTCTCATCCATTCGTTGTTGAAGTTGTTCTAGTCGATATATTTCGTCCAATTGCGTGTTTCTGTGAAAATCCGTAGCATTGTATAACAGTGAATTAATTTTGATTTTGTATCAACAATTACATTTTGTACTTTCAGTCACTACCTCATTTTTAAGTGATATCTACCACATCGCGTGATAATCACCGGTGACCGGAACGGAACGTATTAAAAAATTATTAATCATATTAATTATAATATCGATTAATTATTTTTATGTTATTTTATCACGTTAAAGGAAGATAATAATTAGATTTTAAAAAAAATTACATTATTTTATAACTAATATTAATTGTAACAATCAAAATATTAAAATACAAAACTTTTTGGAAGTCCTGTAAAAATTGTGACATCACTTATAAATGTAGATTCCTGAAATCATTTTGGAACGAAAAATTTAATACTAAAATGTTGAGATTATAGTAATTTTTTAAATGTAATCATTTAAAATTAGCGAATCATATCGCCTAATAAAGTTTGATAAAATAATCGCTAAATTAAGGAAATTGTGCCGAACATAATTTCTCTATGTAAGAATATCTATATACAAGGTATTCCGTAATTATTAATTAATACTTCTGAGAGTCAGAGAGAATGGAATTTTAAACTGAAAGTTTTTTTCCCAATTTTAGCTCAGACTATTATTTCTCTATCCATTTATCGATTTATTCATTTATTTATTTATGAAAATGAAAAATTAAAATAAAATTGTAATCGAGAGACTGTACAGGAGCTTCATAGTATACTATGCTTCTTCTACGTACTCCTCTTCTACGTACTGAGCGTAATCTGATTGTTCAACTTAATCGTTAATAACTCGGTAAATAATTATAGTAGAGCCAAAATTGGGAATTAACTTTTAATTAGTTCAAAATTCCATCCTTTTTTACTTCCAGAAATATTTGTCTGTACACCCTGTACAGTGTTAAAGGATTATGTATATAATAATAGTTTGTAATTTTGTGAAGATATATGTGTTACATTTCTAATCGTAATACCATCTCTATTTTCGAATTATAATTAAAACAAATAAAACAAAATCGACAAAAAAAATTTTATACACATCAAAGGTTTGTTCGCGTCTTATGCTCCAACATGCTCCAACATGCTCCTATCATAGCTCCTACTCACTTCAATGCATTCATTAGAGTGAGTAGGAACTATGGCAGGAGCATGTTGGAGCACGCGACGCGAACAAACCTAAAATGTTTGGCCCAGTGGTTTTTTAATTCATCGAGTGTTTCTTCAATCTGTAATTCCAAATTTCTTAAGCTTGCCTCGCCCTTACAAATTAAACACTGCGCATTATTTTTGCCTATTATGAGGTAATTATTCAACAGAATATGTTGTACTCTCATGTTTCGTCTTATTACATTTTTATATATACTTGATCTGTTCCCGTGATATATTTCCAAATGGTTTTGTAAGAGGTGCGTACCACGAAAAAATATAATTTGTAATTTACACATTTGATCTTTACACACTCCAACGTAACGCTGATTTTGCATTATTTGAAACTTTTCCTTTAATTCTTTACATCTTGAATGGCCATCTAATTCGGTTAGTCCATGATCGTACAAGTGATTTATAAATTTTCTTATGTAGTTCTTCTCACTTTTTATAAAAACTTTATCGCAATATGCACATGTTATTAATAAAAAAAAAACAAAAGCTTTTTTTTCTTTGCAATGCCTCTCTAACCATTCTCGGCAATAGACCGTCATTTTCGTTTCGATCGTTCTGTATCGCGGACCACTTAATATTAAACGTATTTGAAAAACCATTTACCTTTTCAAAACTGATTATAGAAGGTCAAAGAATATTGAAAATAAATATTGTTACAAGTAAATATTGACATGTTATATACATGACTATGTTTGTCTATAACTGATATCGTATTATAAATTCAAATTTCTGTGAATAAAAAATACAGTTTTTCAATCAAACTAAATACAGTTGAGTCCAATGTGAACTTCGTTCAAATTAGTTTTAATTTTTTGAGTAGCATGAAAAATGGGTAATTAAATATTAATTAAATATTTATATATTAATAATTTCATTTTCTGAAAAAATTTATGTTGCATCATTATTAAAATGAATATAAGAAATATGCGTAAAATTGTTTTATAAAAAATAGATAGGCTAGTAAGAAAATGTAATCAATATAAATTTTATACAATCAATCATGTAATCATTACTTAATAATGTATGTAAGTTTTTGAAACATTAATTGCATGTATATCCCATTTTTCAAAGTAATAGATATTTTTTACGGATAATTATCAATTACAATTTTGAATAATCTCTTTAAAACCCAGAATGTTAATTAAAATATATATAAATAACTTTAATCATTACTTGTAGCATTTAAAAATGAATAAATTATTGCTTGGGAGTGTATAATATTATATATGACATTTATTATGTATTTTATACATACAATTACAGGTATGAAATATCTTTATATACACGTATAATACATTGATACAATAAGATCCCTCCATATATAGATGCCATAGTACCGCTCCGTAAATTGCGCTCGTAAAATTATGTTCGTGTGAATACTCTTTAGTTATATAAAAATAAAAACTATCATTAAAGTGTGTATATAATTATTTTGTGCCATGTACAATTGGACTATTCTAAATAAATTTTTATCAATAAAAAAAACTATATCTCTTACATTAAAAGCCATCCTTATCTAGACTAGGAAGAAATTATTTAGCGTTTTACTGTCGGTTACGAATAGTAGATCTTTTCAAGAAAACAAATGAATTGATACTTTTAGGCAATGTGTACTATGCAACTTGTTATTATTGTTATCGTCTAAGGCTTTTTACATTAATTTATTTCGTACCATGATTGTGGGACTTTGAAACTGAATTCTTAAAAAGCTATTTTTTAATTAATCTGTTTCTCTTTCTTTTTTTTATTTCACAATAAGTTATCCTATAACTTATGTATATACACTGGAAAATCAAATTCTTTAATACTCTGAAACTTTTTATGAATGAATCAGCTAATAAGAAATTTGTATTATTGGAAGGCAATGATCAAAGTTATTAAATAATACTGCATATCAAAATTGCATCATCTCGTTTGCTATATAGATTAGCTTTTGCATCATTTATATTTATAAATATTTTTTTATGTATAATTCTATGTATTTTTTATATGTATATTTCTATATATTTGCTTTAAAAAATTGATGCATATTCTGAATTGGTATTACGGTCAAATAAATTACAAAAAATATTTTGCCAATTACTTCTGTTTGTTTAAGATAATATATTTAGAATATTTCATATATAAATTAAATTGTTTTACTAGAAAATGCCATCGATATGAATATAAAGATACTATAATATAACATCAACCAAAAATTAATTTTGACTTTAGAGACTTCACTTTTGTTTATAAATTTCTAAAGGGGGGTATAAGATCTTCAATTCCATATTTAATATTTTAACTTCCCTCTTATAATATTTCAGAAAATAATACTTAAAAAATATGTAAAATTTGTATGTACAATAATGTTTAATATAAAGCAAAAGTGAAAAATAAAATGAGTTTATACGTAAATAACTTTCGACATACAGCCAAGATTTGTTACTATACATGTCGGATTTCTCGCAACTTTGATATATCTGTATAGTGTCATGTATATCTGCGAAAAACAATTGACATTTCCAAACGAATCTAGATGAGGTCATTTTATTAGTCGCTCCTCTTTAGAAATACTCATGCGTTGTGTCAATTAAGTATTAAATGTTAAATATTCGAAAATTCATGTTGTCTATACATGAATAATTTTAAAGCAATGGAATCGGTTTCAGATTTTTATCCTGAGTATTTACTATTAGCGTACTATTATACATTTGCAACGATTGATAAGGTAGGCCAACATATTAAACATATGCCATGTCATTAAGAAATTCTCAAAAACTAATGATACAATTATATTATTGTTAATATTATAATAAACTACATTAAAAAAATAATCGTATTATATATTTTTTAATATAATGGATTGGAATACAACTAAAAGTGTATCTACCTTGTAAAAAAAAATTGTTATAATCTACTAAAACCAACCAATGCAGTATGTATTTCAGTTGCAAAGAACATTTATAGAAAAAATTTAGAAAATAAGAATTATAAAAATCTTGACACGACTTATCAGTATTGTAATAAATGAATATGTACTGTTTATAGCTATCATATTGCACATATTGCCATTCATGCAATTGCGTTTTTTTAAGTTAAAAATTCACATTCTCCAATAGTAATAATATATAAATTTCTGTGTGTTATGTAATTCTCGATTTTTTCCTTCGTCAATTTATCTAAGCCAGCCATGCATAAAAATATATATATAATAATATTATTAATATATCTCTTATATATTAATCACCGTGTGTCATCCATTTAGAGTGGGTGTGTCTGATAAGGAATGAACACGATTGAATCTACGATTTTTCAATGTTGTCATAGCTTCCATGAGATCGGTTCGTTTACTGAAGAAGTCAACTATTGCTTGACCGGTTAAAGCAGATGCCAAAAACTGCTCGACGGTAATCGACCAATCGGGATCGGCGGAGGACGTTATGCTCGATGGATTTCCATTACGATCGGGTGACTGAGAAGAAGGACATATCAAGTTTATAAATTTACTGCTATAATAAAGAATATCGGTTGTCAGTACAAATAAAAATATATACCCTTTCGACAACTGAAGAAGCTTGTTGAGCTGCAGAAGCAGCTAGAAGTAAACTATCTTCAGATTCTTCTTTCTCTATATAGAATTTCTTGCCAACGTCTCCTAATTGGAGTAGAAGTGTACCTATGATTTAGGTTTATTTTATTTAATTATAATTAAATTATAAGTAAATTACTACAATATATAAAATTTTTGAATACAGTAATATAAATATTACCTATAGAAGCGATGCAATGATATGTTTCCTGTTCTTCAGGTTGAGCAGGAAACATGTCGTAAAGAGTTTTCCATAATGCTATAAAATGTCCTTGAGACATTTTTGGCACAGTTTTAAGATCCAATGGACTGTCTTTTGATGCTATCATTGAACGTAAACTACCCATACTCTGAACTTCCCATGATTGATCACCTGGCTGGCTATTCAAGCTTGTAGATCGTGATAAAGTGCCTACAGTTGGTTCTTCGGCTATGCTAATTGGCATTTCCAAGGAAGCTACGCTTTGCTCCATGTTATCAAAGAAATCCGTAGCTTCTGCCGCCACTTCAGCTCCATCTAACCAATTTATATCGTGATGTAACATAAAAAGACATATATAAATGACTTTCATATATACATAGCTGAATGAATCTACCTGCTGAATGTGTTGGAGATTCAAAGTCGGCAGGCGTAAGAAGTGGCGGTAAATGCAACGTATATAATAACTTTAATCTTTGCGTCAAATCAGCTGTTGCTGTCATCCCTATGGCCTGCACCAGTTCCCGGAAGTTTAACAAACCGTCACGATTACGGTCCATTAACTAAAATATTTTTTAATTAAAATAATTATATAATTAATGTTGTTTTCGTCTATAATCAATTCTTGTAAAATATAATGATTTTTTAAAATTTAATTTCACTATGCAAAATTTTATAATGTATGTTAATCAAACCAAGATTAATTTATTTATAGAAACTGAACTTACACGAAATAGTCGCGCAGAAAGAGATTCAGCTTGAGTGCATTTTCCCCACGGAGACAGACCACCAAATAATATTCTAAATAAGTCAAAATCTACTTTATATGCTTCGTACGGCGGTTGGGTAGGATCGTAGCGATCAGGTTCGGATTTTCGTTGGCTCATTAGCTCTTCTCTCACTAAACTTAATAATTCCTATATACATAGCACATATAATTAAAATATTTATAATTTCCTTCTATGATTTGTCTATATGGAATTATTCTAAATTACCTGCAACTCTTCCATTTTCATATATTTATCAACAATAACGCTTCTAATTACGTTTTTTTCAATTCCATCTTCGAGGCTTTGAACTACCCTCAATCTATGTTTCAGGCGCAATCTTTCTATGCCACCAATTGTTAAAGATCCATATCTTGAATACGCTTCATAAATTAATGTTTGTACAGATATACTCTACAATAGCAAATATATTTCAGCTACGTTATAGTCAAAGATTAAATACATGAAATAATCAGAAGATATGTATATTCTTACCTTATTGAGTAATGTACTATCAATTGGTTTAGGAAATATCGGACCTTCATCGTTATAAACACCACCAAGGTAATCTGTCAACAGTTGCATGGCTTCTCCGTCATCGCGACAATTAAGTAACTTGTCTTGATTCCATTCCAATACAGTCAATGCTATCTGATAAAGCAGAATAGATTTATTTGTTATAAATATCTCATATCTATATGTAACAAAGTAATTTTATTAAATTAAAAAATTTAATAAATTTAAATAAAATAAAATAAATTTGTTAAGAAAAATTTTCAAAATTAAAAGAAAATTTATGTTAAATTAAATTTATTTATACAATATAATTTAATTTATACAATAAGAATTTTTCATACAATAATCTTTAAAATTTATCAAGAATTATTTTTGTTGAAAGACTTCATTAATTGAAAAAACAATTGAAAATAAAGCTACTCTCTATACTTAGTTTGTTACCTGAAAAATAACTTTTGCCCCATCGTAGAAGAAACAGTCCATAAT